TTTGCAAGTCTGTTCAATTGCAGGTTCCACAAGTCCCCTACTAAGCTCCCATCCAAAGGGCAGGAGAGCCCTTTCAAAGCCCCCAACATAGTCTGGCATCATTGAGAGGCCACCTCAGTCCCAGGATCCTGCCACTCAAATGCAACTGAGTATCATTCTTACACTATCATTAGTGGCATGTAGATCCTGTACATATCCATATTAATTGGAATGGAGAATTTAAATAATCTCTGCACGTCCCAGGGTCCCGTCAGCCTATATGGCCTTACTCAGTTTTGGTAGTTTCCTTCTTGCCAATGTAAGGACATACATGTCTTTTGAGGCCTGAACTTTAAAGCGAACTGCTCTGCAATGGCAGTCCCCTGCGTGTTTCACCAGGCCCTGGTATTTATCTAGCAGTAGCTTACCAGTGCCCTCAGAGAAGAGTTTCTGTCACTTTTGGAACAGTTCCTGGTGCTCCTGCTGCTTGCGTAGGTCCACCCCCTGGGCCCGCTGCTGGGAGTTCTCAGTTGCTTGCCTCCTGCTGACGGCTGCTTCACTGTTGCCTGGTTTGTGGAGTGCCACATGCATCTGGTGCTGGGGACTGGGCCACGGCAGAAAGGCGCAGGGCCTTCTCCTGACCGCTTCTGCCCATGCAGCTTGGCACCAATTGGATCCCCACTGTCAATTTACATCTGGGGATTTGGTGGGGTGGCATGGAGCTCTGGGCCCCCTCATTTGTAAAAGTCGGCTAATTGGGTCCCCACTGTTAATTTGCACTCAGGGCGTCTGTGGAGATATTTGAGTTGGAGCTACAAGTGAGGCAGGGGGGCCTGGGCCCCCTCTTTTGTCATCTGAGTCCTGGACTTGAAGGAACCATTTTTTTCCCTAAGAGTTGCTTGTTACCTGGAACACTTTGCAATTTTGGGCAGGGTTCTTTTCAATGCCCTTTTTTTTTCCTTTTTCCAAAAAGCACACAGATTATACCCCACCCTAGAGTGGCTTTTCCTTTTGATTGTCTTTAAGGATCCATGGCTGGCATAGCTAGCAGAACACGTACAGTTTTCAGTTTACTTTAAAGGCCATATTATCCAGCTGTGAAGGATTCATGCTAATTGCCTTGCCTTGGCTATGGGTGCCCTCTGGCCAAATTGAGCTCCCTGCTGTGTAAAGAGAAACCATTCCCTGAACCTGAGTCATAACCTAATGGATGGGTTTGGAGAATTAGTTCAAGTGGTTCCCTCCCTGGCCCCTCCCACGGTGCCAAGGTGGCGGTGGCAGCAGGTGTTCCTTCCCCCTTGCTGCATGCCACTCTGTGGCAGGCCACGTGCACCAGTCTTCCCTCCCACTGGGTCCTCTCCCAGGCTGTGGCCCCTGTTGTCCTCTCCCAGGCTGTGAAGCCTGGTGCTTCACCCCAACCAGCTGTGGGATTCCAGTGGGGGTGAAGGACCTCATTTATTGAAAATCATACAAACAGATCATTTTGTATATCATAAACAATGGGTTTATTTTAAACAGAGAGCTTGACAATCAACATTTTAATTCTGCAGTGGCAGGTAGACCATTTGAGCTCTGAATTTTCCTTAATATAATTTTCCTTTTAGTAAAAACTTGTGCACAAGAATTGGCCATCCTGGAAAATCTGGCATGCCTTTGAGCCTTCCCATTTAGACACATACTTGCCAGTAGGGGCACCATAAACCAACCGGGGTGCCTGAAGGGGGTTGTTTTCCCTTGTCTTTCCTTATTTTTAAAGGATTTGTTTCCCATTTTCTTTAAAAGAAGCAACTGGGCTGTGGCCTAGCATTCAGTGTAGTGGGTCAGAGCCTGCTGATTGTGGGTGGGATTCCACAGTGTTTCACCACTGAGTCATTTCCATCCTCTTACATGTAACTCGGGCACTCATTTATCTACAAACGAGACAGTTTGGTTTCCTCTTTTGCAAAAGCACAGAAAGACCAATTGAGATTAATTTGGGGATGAAGAAGAAATGGAGAAGACCCTTTAGAATACATCTCCAAATCAAAATTAGGTTCAAAACAACAAATTCCTGGGAAACAACTTCATCCTGGGATGAAGAAGAAATGGAGAAGACCCTTTAAATACATCTCCAAATCAAAATTAGGATCAAAACAACAAATTCCTGGGAAAAGAACCAACAGCTCAAAATAAACAAACTATCAACCACCACTTTTCCTCACACTCCATACAAGTGGTACCACAATACAAAAACTCACCAGATAAGTGGTACAAAAATTCACAATCATACATAAATAATATAGGGAATTCCCAACACAATCTAAAATGCCAAGGCCTATCAATCAAATGGGAATTTTCATTTAACAGTCATTTTTCACACTCCAGCACGTACATTGGATTACAATAACACCATTCTCTTTACACATAGGCTTGTAGCTATAAGGTAACCATTCAGCTAAACTTTTTCCCAAGGGACTTTGAGATGGAGCTTCCTTGTATTGCAACAAAACTTACCAATAACAGACAATAAAGGGCATCCTCAACACAAAAATACCAGGGCCTATCAAACAAATGGGAACCCAAAGGGGACAAATGCCACCCCAAATGGTACCTCAGATGATGCCTCAAACGCCCTGCCATAGAGCTGGAAGGTTCACAGATGGGAATCCAAAGAAGATAAATACCACTCCAACTGGAAGGTTCAAAACCCTCCCCACATGGTGGCCTCGTCCCCCTGTTCCCTGGGAACCACAAATGAGCTCCAAATTCAAACCAGTGTCCCTAGTTCCACTCAACCTAATGATTTCCACCCCCAAAAGTCACCTCAAATCAAATGCCCTGATAGGGCTCCAAATGAATACCCTGCCACAGGGCTGCAGGGTTCGAAACCTTTCCAAATGGGTGGAATCAGGGTCTTGACATGCATGTGGAGAACTTACGTAATGGCGGAGACTGTCCAGATACTTCTAGATCCATTCCTTCTCAATTCAGTTCAGGTTGCAGGGAGCTGCATTTATGGGGAGACAGAGATGAGAGTGCCCTGGAGCTAAAACAGGCTCTGGTGGCTGCTAGGGTCATCCCTTGCTCTCTCACCTCAAAAGGAAGTTGCTCCTATTCATGAAGACCCACAGCTTTGACCTGGGACTGCTCCCTGCCTCTTCTAGCAGTCGTGGGGTGCCATTCCACCTGGGTGCTGATGGGCACCCACATAGGGATGCCAAATTCTGTTACCAAAAGTTTGGCATTTGTCCCTGAGGCAAATGCATCAGAACAAAGACAAGTGGTTTGAGGAGAAGGAGAGAAGTTTATTAATTTGCCGGCAAATGAGGAGGTTGGCCAACTCACATCTGAAAGTACCAACATCCTCTCTAGGAACTTTTTGTAACATGTCTTCTCTTAAAGGCAGCTGTCAGGATACTTTAAAAAGTTTTAGGTTGGGGGAGTAAGATACAAATCAACTTTGTCTAAACTAGGTTAATGCTCTTAAAACAGCTTGTACCGACTACAGGACATCTACTAAAGGACTTAAGTTATTTTGTAAAACAGTAGCTTAAGAGATTGAAAATGATGATGGAAATGAATGATGATTAAAGATCAAAGAAATAGAGCTCTTAGTAACCATGAAAGGTATGTGGCTTCCAGATTACTAGGAAAGTACCAGAATGGTGTGCATGGTTAGAACGTGGTCTTGCTGCTCTCATCAGTGTTATAACACGCAAATGAAAACTTGCTTTTCTTGGTCTCTGCTCCTGTCTTAATGTTTTCCTAAGAAAGCAGTGTTTGGCTTGCAGAGTGATAGTGCATACAGATCTGGTTCCACCTTTGCTAGAGATAAGGTGTATAAGGAGAGGTTTAGATGAAAGGAAATAGGCAAATGTTTTACAGTTCTAGATCAACCCCTATTTTTGGAGAAGAAAAAGCAAATGAAATGGGAGGCTGGGCATGGTGGCTCATGCCTTTTAATCGTAGCACTCTGGGAGGCCAAGGTAGAGGATTGCTTGAGCTCAAGAGTTTGAGACCAGCCTGAGCAAGAGCGAGACTCCATCTCTACAAAAAAAAAGAAAGAAATTAGCTGGGCTCAAGCAATCCTTCTGCCTCAGCCTCCTGAGTAGCTGGGACTACAGGCATGCGCCACCATGCCCAGCTAATTTTTTCTATATATATTAGTTGGCCAATTAATTTCTTTCTATTTGTAGTAGAAACAGGGTCTCGCTCTTGCTCAGGCTGCTCTCTTGAGGTCAGGAGTTCGAAACCAGTCTGAGCAAGAGCGAGACCCCGTCTCTACTAAAAATACAAAGAAATTAATTGAACAACTAAAAATATATAGAAAAAATTAGCCGGGCATGGTGGTGCACACCTGTAGTCCCAGCTAATTTGGAGGCTGATGCAGGAGGATTGCTTGAGTCTAGGAGTTTGAGGTTGCAGTGAGCTATGATCATTCCACTGTACTCTAGCCTCTAGCCTGGGTGACAGAGTGAGGGTTTGTCTCAAAAGAAAAAAAAAATGGATCGTCTATGGGTTGATAGTCTTTTTAGGCAATAGAATGATTTTTAGCAGTTCAAAGAAAGTGATTTTTATTCTTTCCTTTTCTCTTCCCATTCTTTTCTTCCCCATTTCCATGTGTTAGTTCCAGCAAAGAAGTAATGATGTCTCTATTCCTTGGGTATCATGTATCAGAATTCAGTTTATATTTTGTTCAGTTTAACGTTTTAAAAATAACAGCTTTGGCTGGGTGCGGTGGCTCACACCTGTAATCCTAGCACTCTGGAAGGCCGAGGTGGGCGGATCGCTCAAGGTCAGGAGTTTGAAACCAGCCTGAGGAGGAGCGAGACCCTGTCTCTGCTACAAATAGAAAGAAATTAATTGGCCAACTAATATATAGAAAAAATTAGCCGGGCATGGTGGCGCATGCCTGTAGTCCCAGCTACTTGGGAGGCTGAGGCAGCAGGATTGCTTGAGCCCAGGAGATTGAGGTTGCTGTGAGCTAGGCTGACACCATGGCATTCACTCTAGCCTGGGCAACAAAGCGAGACTCTGTCTCAAACAAAAAAATAAAATAAAATAACAGCTTTATTGAGGCCTCTCACTTATCATACAACCCATCCACTTGAAGTGGGTAAGTCAAAATTTTTTTAACATATTCACAGAATTGTACAACCATCACAATTTTAGAACATTTTCATCACCCCAAAAGAAACTCCATATTTTAAGCAATCACTCCTCATTTCCTCTCAATCACCTTACTTTCTGTCCCTCTAGATTTACCTATTCTTGACATTTCTTATTAATGGAATCATATAATATGTAGTCTTTGTGATTGGCTTTATTCACTTAGCATGCTGTTATCAAGGTTCTTCTGTGTTTAGCATGTATCAGCATTTAATTTCTTTTCATTGCAGAGGAATTTTCTGTTGAATGATATTTTATTAGATATCCATCAGTTGATGGACATTTGAGTTGTCTACTTTGGACAATGGGTTCTACTTTTTGGCTATGTTGAATAATACTGCTATGTATATTCATGCATAAGTTTTTGTCTGGACATGTTTTCTTTTTTCTTTGGTATATACCTTGGAATGGAATTGCTGGGTCATATGATAACTCTGTGTTTAAACTTTGAGGAACTCCCAGACTTTTTTCCAAATTGGCTGGACCATTTTCTAGTCTTACCTGCAACATATGAGGGTTCCAATTTCAGTTTAACTTTTAATAATACCCTCAATTGGATAAACAGTTCTGCCTGCTTTCTCTAAGCTAGAGATTTTTCTAGGTGCTAAGAATACAGCAGCGTACATGGCTGACAAGTACGCTGCTCTCAAAGAACATACAATTAGGTGCAGGGAGACAGTAAGTCAAGAAATAGAATAATTTCAGAGCATGATAAATGTTATGAAGTATTGACTTGGGTAGGGGAAGACTTTAGAAAGAGTAGTCTGGCTAGGTTTCTATGAGAAAAGAAAAAGTATGAGCTGATATTGAGAAATGTGGCTGGTGAGGGAATACAAAAACTCTCCAAAAGTGTCACTTTTTGACAGGTTTTTAAGGTGATATGTTGATGTGATAGTGGTCAAGACTTATAATGGATCAATTATTTTTTAAATATGTGAATCTTTTATTTAAATATTTAAATCTTTTGCCTGTTTTTCTATTATGTTCATTGTGTTTTTTTAGTGATTTATAGCAGTTCTGTATATTCTGGATTCCAAGCCCATTAAACATGGACAAAAGAAATGAAGAGATAGTTAACAGGAAAGGCAATACAAATAACTCTTAAACATGTGAAAAAAAGTCCAACTTGCTCAAAATAAGGTAAAAAAATGACAGCTACCATTTATTGAGTTTTTACTATGTCTCAGGCAGAATTCTAAGCATGTCATAAACATTAACTCATCTTATTTTCACAAAAATGTTTGAAATTAGAGTATGTTAATAAATATCCTCAATTGACTTAGGAGGAAGTGAAGACACAGAGGTTAAGTGATCTGTGCAGGGATGCATGGCTCCAAGTGATTGGCAGAGCAAGGAGATGGCCCCAGAGCCTACACTCTTAACCACTACATCCTACTGACTTTCAAGAATCAAAACAAAGTAAAACTGCACTGAGCTATCATTTTTTATCTATCAGATTGGCAAAGATCAAAAACTATGATAAAAGTGTGATGGAAAGGAGTATAGAGATTTTTAAAAATTGTCAGGGGGAATGTAAATTGGTACAACCTTTCTTTGATGGCAGTTTGGCAATATGTGTCAAATTTTTAAATGTTATAATCCTTTGGCCCAGCAATTTCAATTCTTGGAATTTAGCCTTCATACTTATTTGCATGAACTGTTGTATGTGTTCAAAGATACTTGTAGCATTGGTTAGACTAGTATAAGCTTGGAAACAATCTAAATGTTCATTAATAAGGGGCTGGTTAAATTATGTTATTCCCAATCAATGTAATGCTATTATATAGCCTGTCAAGGAGAATGATGAAGCTCTGTATACCCTAATATAGAACCAGTTTCCAAGATCTGCTAAGTCAGAAAGTTAAGGTGCAGAATGGTGTGTTGGATGTGTTATGCATATTTGTATCTGATATAGGAAAAATAATAGAAATATGTACTTGGTGTGGAAATATATAAAATATTTCCAGAAGGATGCACAAGAAACATGACACTATTTGCCTCTGGAGGAGAACAAGGTGGTTGGGATCAGGAATAGGAAGGAGACTTCAAGATGTGCTTTTTGCATTTTGAACTATGTGACCCTATATTAAAAATGTTAAAACGAAAATATACTTTAAGAGAAATCTAAGTCTTAATAATAGTAGTTAATAAAGAGCCATTTTGAGCTGTTCTGCAGTTTATTTTTCCAAATAGTAAAGGCCTCAATAATTTTTAGTCTTTGTTTTGTTATGAAAGATAGCAATCAAATGATGTATTCTAGGTGGCACTGCTCTGTTGAAATGGTTGATGGAAGCAACAATAGAGCCAATGCCATGTCTTTGGTACTATGAGGAAAAACAGACTGTATTTCATCTTTTCTTTCTTCCTTTCTTTTTGCTTTATTTTCTAAGTCCACTTTGGACAATGGATTCTTGCTTTCACAATTTTAAAGAAACATTTGCAATCTGTATGAGCAATTGCTACACTAAACTACAAATGGTTTCCCATTTGTAGTTACTCAGCTTGCAGCTCCTTCGTATCAGCAGGAACTCTAGGTATATTTTGGTAGGCAAGAAGATTTGGACCGTAAATGGCAAATGATAAAAAGATATACTTTGCAAGAAGACAAAAAATCTCCTGCCAAATCACATTCTTAGGGTATAACCAAGTTATTTACATAAATATAATTGTCTGTTGATTGCTCATGTTGCAACTTGCTGTTCTTTGTTCTTTACAAGATTAAATTGGTTTCTGCTAATGTCAAGTGACAAAAATACACATAAATAACACTAGCTAGCTCTTTGTACTAAAGTATAAAACATTTGGAAAGAACAAAGGCCAGGAACGATGGCTGGTACTATCTAGGCTAGAAATACATGGTACTAATGTAGGAAGGTTTTATAAAATGAAAAGAATGAAGTGGAATTTTGAAGGCAGAAAGAAAATTAAATTTTTGAGGGGGAGGTGTTAGAGTTTCTAGGGAAGTGATAGCAAGTTTTTGCCAAGATAGAGGAAAAAGTGAAGGCAGTAGTTAAGATGAGGATTTTTGGTGGAGCTTAACATACATTAAAGAGGAATAGTTCAGAATATGGGCTTTGGGGTCACACAGATCTGGGTTTGGGTCCCAGTTTCACTACTTTCCAGCTAGGTTGCCTTGAGTAAGTAACTCAGTAACCTTTCTATGTCTCACTTTTATAATTTCTAAAATGGAGATAATTATAGTGTTTACCTCATAGAGTGGCTGTGAAGATTAAATGAAATTATGCATGAAAGCATATGGCCAAGTGCCTTGCAGACAGAAGATGCTCAATAGATATGTTACTGCTGTTATTGATAATTTTGAGGTGACAACCAGTTGAATCTCTTTCATTGTTGTAAGTTTGAGGAATCCAGAGGCAAAATGATGATGAATAAAGCCCCCACATATAGCTTTAGTTAGATTGAATGTGTTAATGAGAGAATACATTAGATGTTCTTTAGATGTAATAGGTGCTCAACAAATCCTAATTTTATTGATATAATTCTTTATCTGTCCTTGCCAAAGGATGAAATGAAAATAATTCTTGAGAAACAAGATACTAGGAATTGAAGAATAAATGGAAGGTTTGAGGTTAGAGACAGACACTGGTTACCAAATATTTAGGTTATAAACTCCAGTTGTGCTGGATGAACTGATGTAACTTCTTCACGATAAAAGTTAGCAAGATTTAACGTGGGTAGAAGGAGAGAGAAAAGTCAAAGATTTATGGAGAGGTTAAAAGCTTGGAAACCAGAGAACATATTGGTTCCACTGTCTCTGATAGGAGAGTTAAGGAAGATGTTTCGGATATGTTTAGTTTTGGATGACTGTATAACATCCAAGTGTGTACACTGTATGGATAAGAAATGACAGACTGAGGAAAGGATAAGAGAAAGTGGTCTTGTTGGCATATGATTCTTAAACATTCCAAGATTATCTCTTCAGTAACTTTCCTGTTTATGGAATTGAGATAATGAAGCCCCAACTTCTGATATATTTACACTCCATTTTGAAGAATTTTGCTAGCTTAAGATTCTTAGTATTAGCAAAGCTTTAACAGACCAGTACAGTGTTGTGTTATCTGTCAATCTTGCGGTGCTCATTTCTGGGCTTCAGGGAGCACTTTGGACAGTGTGCCATTCAGATGCCTCTTAGTAAATGTAGGTATCAGCAGAGGGACTATTCTTATGCTTTTTATATTCCTAGACCTGTCCTTTGGCTTTTTAGCTTAAATAGTAAAGAACATAGTGAAGATAAATAATTGTGACTTGTCTAGTATTATGCTGATATTTAAACTGTCTTCTAGAAGATTCTTCTGTCGATAGAAATAACTTTGGAATAAAAGAGGAATTTTTCCAGGATGGAGTTTTTGTTGTTGTTGTTGTTGTTTTAAAGCACTGGAAATGTGTCCGTTGTGTTTTAAATATGACTTACAATGAATTTATTTAATAGTGTTCTGGTTAAATGCAAATAATGCTATCATTGATATGTTGGCTTTTTAGCAATTGTTTCTTATAGGATGTGTAGCAATAGGTAACATCTTTTTTCTGGCCTTTTTTGCTTGGCTTTTATATTATTGCTAATATATGCTTCTTGGGGTTTATTACTGACTCCTAACATACACTCTATCCCTTAGTGATAGCTCACCCTCTGAGTGACTTTCTCCTTTTCCTTTATGGGTAGAGTGAAGGGCAAAGACTGAAAATACTTAAATTACAGGGTTATTTCTTTGTTCTTTTTCTTTGTTTTGAATCTCATTCTAACTGAATTGCCCTTGCAAAGGGCATTATAAAGAGAGTTCAAGGTAAGGGTTTGAACTCAAGGTATACCTCCTTGTAAACAAAGGAGGTATACCCCCTTTGATTTTAAGTTGTTCATTTTGTTACTGTTATGTTATTGTCTCCGTAGCGTCTCACACTTTTTTGATTTGTGTTGATAAACTAGCCCAATTATTATATAGCATCAAACTATATTATTATTTATAATTTTTAAAATTATTATGTACTAACATTTATTAGGGCTTACCATGTACTAGGGACTGTGACAGGCTCTTTACATGCATTTGTTGTGGTTTGTTTGATTAGTCCTACTTTTCACATGAAAAAACTAAGGCCCAAAAAAGTTTTAATATATTGTCTAAGGTCACCAAGTTATTAAGGAGTAGAGCTGGGACTTGTTACCAAGTTCTATCTAAATCCTAAACCCATAGCCTTAGATCCTAAACTATTTGAGTAATTAGATGAGTACAGATAGTTAAATTTATTCTCATTGTTGAAAACTCAAATATTTTGTTCCTGTGTATTAAAAATCAGACTTGGCTAATGCTTGGTTCTGTGGGGTTAGGAGAAATGTTGGTGATTCTTCTATTTGTGTTAATCTAGCACCCTATAGTTACTATGTCTTTTGCCTTGGACTTGGGATGTGGTAGACAGAAGAGAAATGCATGACTGCATTTTTATGTACATAACTGTTGTAACAGGACATTTATAACCACTCTAGTTTTCTTCTTCTTTGCTATTTCATCCCTGGAGTGTTGTCTTACCTCAGTTTGTTCAGTGACAGAAAAGACAGGAAAAGAGTGAAGTCTCTGGAGTATAGCTCTACTGTTGTATGACTTGTTTTGGTCTTGAGCTTGCACTGCCTATAGTACATACACCCAGCATTTGTTCAGATGCTGTTGAGTGGACAGTGCTTACTTTCCTGTAGGCAGAATTGATTGTCTTGATTAAAGAATCAAGGGAGATTAAGTTGTTCTCTTAACTGTTCTGGATGTTGAAGTTAATTTCAGAAACATTTTGTAGTAAACTGTAGTACTTGTTTAGTGTGGAACATTTTCATGGGGAGCAGTAGAAATAGTTTTACTTCAGTGCTTTTGCTTTTCAGTGAAGCTTTTGTTATGCTGTTGACAAAAATCTATATGAAAAATTTGAGTAAAAAACTATACTATATCTGAAATATGAGATAATTTTATGAGACATTTATAATTCAGAAAGCATGCATTTTCTTATATTGTATCTCAGGCTCTAATTTTAAAGACTTTCATTTATATCTGTGTTTTGATGAAGTATCAATTTATCTTCTGCCTTCAAATGACAACGTAACTGACCTCCTTAAGATGGAGGTTAGAAATATAAGCTGTTTCTTAAAAAGCCAAAAGTTGCTTCAGCGAGTTTTCCTTGTGCTAGCACTTCTCTTTCGGGCCATCTTACTGAAGCTAAACATCAGTTCAGTTGACAACTTTACTCAATTCTAGGCAACAGTGGCTATGCTGTGGCCTGCAGAGACAGTGAATCCATTCTGGCTCTGACACCCAATTTTATTGTAAAACACATTCATGTTGACATCATATCAGTTTTCTGAACTATTACATGCATAAAAGAATTCACCCCTTTCCATTCAGTCTTTCTCAGCATTACAGTAAGGAGAAATCTGCACACCCAATGTTTTCATTTTGCATTTAATGTGGTCTAGTCCAGAAAATAGCGGCATCAGTTAAAAACATGTTTTTCTGGAGGCACTTAGCAGAGTATATTAGCTTAATGGTATTCATTGGTAGGAGAGGACTGAAGAGACACACACAAGGCAGTTTTTAGGAGAGAACAGTTTAGGGTAAAACAAGTCAATATGGACCCAAGATTATGGGGATTAGTTGCCCCAGTTCTTTTGCATGCAGCTGCCATTTGAAGGCTTGCATGCTGGGCCTCATCTATGCCCAATTTTGTGGGCTTTGCCTCCTACTTGACCTTTTTGATTGTATTGTTTTTGTGAAGGCCTTTTATTGCTGATTTTTTTTTCTTGTTTTACTTATATTGGAACTTGCTAGTTTTGCTTGTAGAACTTGTTTCAAATATGATCCAAATCTTTATCTTTAGTTTATGAGGGGAAAAGGAATCTTTCATGCACACAAAATTCAGCCCTTCCATTTTTATGTCAATTCTAGCTTTGTACGGAGTGTTACTGAGGCTATCTTTGTCTTTCACAATAAAGAAATTTGGCCTTTTCAGTTTTTATAGTGCTTGATTGACTTATTTGGTTTCCTGATCCTAAAATATGAAGGTATTTTCTTTTCCTTTTTCTCTGAATACAGGCCTCCCCAAAATATCCACAAACCTAGTGAGGTTTAATAAGGTTTTCCTTGTTATTTGGTTCTACTGTTCTGAGACTGTCCACTAGGAATTTCATTTACCCATAAGAGACTGACATTTTAACATGGCGTGATTGCAAATTCTGTTTCTAAACTAATATAAATGCCTACATTTGATTACTAAAATGTGAGTCTGTCATTTACATAAGATTTTAAAAGGAGTGGTTCTCAAGCCTATAGATGTATGTATGTTAATTAATTCTTACCTATATTATTTTGCATCTAGTTTGA